CACACACACACCTGATACACACACAACACACAACACACACTGTTACACACAACAACACACACACCTGATACACACACAACACACAACACACACTGTTACACACAACAACACACACACCTGATACACACACAACACACACTGTTACACACAACACACACACACACCTGATACACACACAACACACAACACACACTGTTACACACAACACACACACACCTGACACACACACACACACACACAACACACACACTGTTACACACAACAACAACACACACACACTGTTACACACACACACACACACATACACACACACACACAACACACACTGTTACACACAACACACAACACACTGATACACACACAACAACACAACAACACACACTGTTACACACAACACACACACACCTGATACACACACAAACACACAACAACACTGTTTACACACACAACACACACACCTGATACACACACAACACACCTGATACACACAACACACAACACACACTGTTACACACACACACACACACACACACACACACACACACACCTGATACACACACAACACACACTGTTACACACACTGTTACACACACAACAACACACAACACACACTGTTACACACAACAACACACACACACCTGATACACACACAACACACACTGTTACACACACAACACACACTGTTACACACACAACACACACACACGACACACACAAAATACACTGTTACACACACAACAACACACACACACAACAACACACAACAACACACACAACACACACACACAACACACAACACACAACAACACACACAACAACACAACACACACTTACACACAACACACACTGTTACACACAACCACACACACACATGACACACATGACACACAACACACACTGTTACACACAACAACACACACACATGACACACATGACACACAACACACACTGTTACACACAACACACACACACACACAACACACACCACACACAACACACACACATGACACACATGACACACAACACACACTGTTACACACAACACACACACACACAACACACACACACAACACACACCACACACACACACACACACATGACACACAACACACACTGTTACACACAACACACACACACACAACACACACACTGTTACACACACCACACACAACACACACACATGACACACAACACACACACACATGACACACAACACACACACTGTTACACAACACACACACTGTTACACACAACACACACTGTTACACACACACACACTGTTACACACACAACACACACACTGTTACACACACACACACACAACACACACACACACAACACACACACACACAACACACACTCATGACACACACAAAACACAACACACACACATGACACACACCACACAACACACACCACACAACACACACAACACACAACAACACACACACACACACACACACACAACACAACACACACACGACACACAACACACACAACAACACACACTGTTACACACAACACACACACACACACACACACACACACAACACACACAACACCACACACTGTTACACACAACAACACACACACATGACACACACTGTTACACACAACACACACACATCACACACACTGTTACACACAACAACACACACACATGACACACAACACACACAACACCACACACAGTTACACACAACAACACACACACATGACACACACACACACAACACACACAACAACACACACTGTTACACACAACAACACACACACATGACACACAACACACACTGTTACACACAACAACACACACACATGACACACAACACACACTGTTACACACAACAACACACACACATGACACACAACACACACACACATGACACACAACACACACACGGGGGGGGGGGTCTGACCTTTGGGGCGATTCGATTGACGATGTCTGAGATGGTCACAGATCCAACGAGTCTGAGTCCACGTTTACCTGAAACACAAACACAACTGAACCAGGACTAGACCTGGACTAGACCTGGACTAGACCTGGACTAGACCTGGACTAGACCTGGACTAAACCAGACTAGACTAGACCAGGACTAGACCTGGACTAGACCTGGACTAGACCTGGACTAGACCTTGACTAAACCAGGACTAGACCAGGACTAGACCAGGACTAGACCAGGACTAAACACCAGGACTAAACCAGGACTAAACCAGGACTAGACCTGGACTAAACCAGGACTAAACCAGGACTAAACCAGGACTAAACCAGGACTAAACCAGGACTAGACCTGGACTAGACCAGGACTAAACCAGGACTAAACCAGGACTAAACCAGGACTAAACCAGGACTAAACCAGGACTAAACCAGGACTAGACCAGGTGTGGTCTTACCGAGTCGGTGAGGGGACGGGGAGGTCGTGTCCCAGACGATGTCCTGGTGGACGTCTGTGCTGAAGGACTCGTTATGGGCCGAGTCCGCGCCGAGTCTGGACCGGACCGGGGTCTGACCTGAGACCAGAGGAAGATTACACAGGACTAAACCAGGACTAAACAGACTGAACAGAGCTAGAGTCGTGTTTTGTTTCATTCACGTTTAACTCACAAACCTGCACATTCAGAGAGAAAACACTCTGTTCCACCTCATGATGTCATCACGTGGTGATCCAGGAAGTGCTCCACTGTGTTTTTAAACTCTTACTTTTATAGCAGCTTGTTTCAGACTTTGGGAGCTCAGCCTGTTAAACTTTAGTCTGGACGAAACAGAAACTGAACACAGAAGTGATTTTTGTGTTCTGGAACTCTGGAGAGTTAAACTCTTGACTTTGTGTCTCTTCAGTGTCGTTTGATCAAACGAGTCCAAAACAGAGACACTGGGTCATTTCTGTGTCAATAAATCTGTGGGACAGATCAGTGTTTTTGAGTAAATCTGTGGGACAGATCAGTGTTTTTGAGTAAATCTGTGGGACAGATCAGTGTTTTTGAGTAAATCTGTGGGACAGATCAGTGTTTTTGAGTAAATCTGTGGGACAGATCAGTGTTTTTGAGTAAATCTGTGGGACAGATCAGTGTTTTTGAGTAAATCTGTGGGACAGATCAGTGTTTTTAAGTAAATCTGTGGGACAGATCAGTGTTTTTGTGTAAATCTGTGGGACGGGGACACAGGTTCAGGTTTGGGACTGGAACTGTCAAACTAAACTAAAACAAACATGAGCAGAAAACTCGACTTCACTCGTCCTCCCGTGATCCTCTCCTGTTAAACCTGTTAGAATTATAAATAAATAAGTAAATAAATAAAAATAAACTAAACTCGTCAGACTCACCCCGGGCCTCGGCGCGTCTCCGCGGGGTCTGCGCGCTCTCGTCCCCGGCGGAGGAGCTTCTGTCTGCGGCTTGACTCTGTCTCACGCTCCGCCTCAGGCGGTTCGTCCTGGATCTGGTCCCGCTCATGGCTCCCGGCTCCCGGACTCACGGCTCCCGGGGGCCTACGGACCGTGGGGCCTCTGTGGGATGTCCGGGGACACTTCGGAGACACTTCGGAGACACTTTATGGAGGTTTTGTTCCGTTTTCTGTGAATATTTGTGGGAAACATTTGAAAGTCCCGCCGCCATCTTGTCCTCCAGGAGTTTGTTGTTCCGGCGGAGGCTGCGTGCGCATGCGCACTTCAAATCTGACGTCATTACTTTTCTAGAAGCGGACTTTTACGTACTTTATGTACTTTTACGTACACTTCTAGAAAACTACTCTGTAAATAAATAACTTTGATGTTGTATTTCCTTCCCTCTTGTTTTTTTTTTTATATAAAATCTCTTAATTATTGCACAAATCCGAAAACAAAAACACTTTGTACGGAATTTGAAATATAAAATATGAATGTATTCATGTTTTATTTGTTTATATTTGTACGTGTGTGTGTGTGTGTATTTTCACTGTAATGTTCATGTGTGTGTGTTATTCATGAAGATGTTGAGCTCTGAACAAACGAACCTGAACAAACTCTCGTCATGTTTTCTGTTTATGTCTTTGTGTCTTTGAAATAATAAAAACACACGACAGAAGACGAGGGCAGGTTCACACTCGTGTGTTCGGTTTCACTTTAAACACGACAGAAAAAACACAAACTAAAGTGAGACACACGTGACCCTCGACCTGAAAACTCCATTTAACTCTGGAGTTTTAACTCTGACAGAGTCACAGCCAAGTTTAATGACTCAGCCTGATGTGTGTGTGTGTGTTGTGTGTATGTGTGTTGTGTGTATGTGTGTTGTGTGTTGTCGTGTGACTAGAGTCAGTCTGGTCGTGTGCAGGTCACTTCAGCCTCAGGTTTGGACCAAACTGGCGCTGGATAAACAAACGACCTTTAAAAAACTAAAGCCCTGAACTTTTGTCTCAGTTCAAAGTTTGTGAAACATAAAAAGTCACTCAGTTTTTGTCTTAAATAGTTTAATTTCTTGTTTACACTAAAAGATTTACACAAGGTGGATCTGGAAGTCCCGGTTCAGACCCGGTGTAGTCCCGGTTCAGACCCGGACTCCACAGGATCCTCGTCAGACCAGAGTCCAGAGTCTGGACCACAGTGAGTTTCTTCACAAAGTGCAAAAGTCCAGATCCTCCTCCAGCAGTTCGACCAAAACATGAAAAACACACAACGAATGAGGACTCCAGGCCACGCCCACACCCAGACCGGGACCACGCCCACACCCAGACCGGGACCACGACCGGGACCAGGACCAGGATCAGATTCAGACCTGGTCTAGACACGCTGTGGCCCAGGTCTAGACCACAGACCAGAGCGTGGACCGCAGCCTCAGCTCCAAATGAAGCTCATGGAGGGCAGCGGCTCCAGAGGCAGATCTGGGTCAGGTTCTGTATTTGGATTCTTCTGACCGCGAGTGTCATGGCAACCAAAGAGCCAATCAGGGACGAAGCTGTTAAAGGTAACGCCCCCTCCCGTCCGCACCGCCGGTTTAACAGAGAGCGGGTGCTTAGCAACGCTGTC